CCAAGACGTTTGTCGACAGTCTCCAGGCCTAAATCAGGAAACGCCCAAGACGTTTGTCGCAGTCATTTCAGCGAAGGCCGGAGGACCGTTTACTTCTGCATAGTTTCACTTGATATTAATTATGCATTCAAGTGAATAACGTCACTCAATTTTATTAATAGATGGGGTATGGCTCGGTTCAAAGCTCGCTGAATTCCTCTTATGCCATGATCATAGCCAAGTTTTTTTCAGCCGCGAGAAAAAATATCGGAAGACATGTTCTGCTATTCACACACTATTACCGGAGGTTAACTTTCTATTCCCTGTGTACAGTACGCAATGACGTGTCCTGTGATTGGCTGGCTGGTTGGTTTGTGACGTTGCATGAGATGTCAATCATTTTCTGTTCAGTACTGTTGGAACACCATGTAGTGTCACGAGAGGGCGATTACAAGCGTTAACAGACCTCAGGCATGATGGCTGTTGACAGTCTAGGAATTTTCAAGATTTGATGATTTTATGGCAATCATGAATACAAAAATTGGCCCAAATTACGGACACTCTGTGTCATAGGACTGATGAGATTTAGACTGCTACAAAATGTCACTGTTTTCATTGACTGATATTAAGAAATATTTGTGCCTAACAAAAATAAAGTGGTTTCTAGGATTCAAATTGAGAAATTTGTCCAATTTCAGTTGTTACCATATATTTTCTAATGTAGGATTACAGAAATCACACTTCTCAGTCAAGATATTTTTTTTTATTTAGAAACACAAGAAGAAAAAGAAGCCTCTGACATTCAATTTTTCCGCCCTACATCTCATACATGATCCACAAAGTAAGTTACCTGTACATTCATGAAACTTGGGTAGAAACTAAAGTGTGAAGAGTAAAATGAGGGAAGAAGACGAGATTGAATTCAACAGCAATGGTCAGAGTCAAATGCATGTTGTTATCAATGAGTCAATAATAATTTATATATTGTATGAATTCCCATAACAGGTTTTGCTGAAAAGCTGTTCAAGCAGTTAGAGTCATCTACTGAGAGGTTTGAAGTTCGTCTGATGATGGCCAATCTGATGTCCAGATTAATAGGAATTCATCAGCTGTTTTTATTCAATTATTATCCATTTCTTCAGAGATATTTACAGCCACACCAAAAAGGTACTATACATCAACAGGGTCCATAGCGTTGGGAAAATTCTTTGAAAGACTTTGAGGTCTGGAAAGTCTTTGAAAAGTTTTTAAATTTCTTCATAGTTAATTAATTCATTTTAGAAAGGCCTGTTTTCTCCAGGGAACTACCATATCCTCAGAACTTTGATGAGCTTTGGTGATGATGTTGGCCTGAATTAATTGATTGGTGCTATATGTACCCTGCATCAATCATTGCTTGTCATAAATTTGGTTATGTGTATCCATAGAATGGCATCGTAAAATTACATACTTTTATGAATGTATATAGACCCTTTACACATTCAGTATTTCAAACGCCATTGTCTAGATATTTGCTACTGTAGAATACTTTATTTTCGCTTGGAATTTTTTTTAGCTATTTTCGCTTAAGTGAAAACAAAATCCATTGAATATACTTTTTTTCCTATATTTCACATTCAACTTGTCAAAAATCAGTGAAAATAAATTCCAAACAAAACACCCAAAAAGCCTTTACAAGGAAATTTAATTCCAGCTAAAATAAAGTATTCTACAATATTTTATTTGTGCTTTTTTCAACAGATCTCAT